ATCAGTCAACACACAGCTGGCTAAGGCGGTTACAAGGCTTCTTTCAACTGAAAGGGGGACGTGTAAATTGAGAACCATAATCTGTGTAGTACTAGAATTTGGTAAGTCTTGTGAAGGAAATAAAGAAGAGATGTTGTCATAGTATGCCATTTTTAGTGGCTAGTTTGTCGTTTTTTGCTCCGTTTCTCGTTTGTAGGACTCATCAATAATGATCATTCTTTGACTTTTTCACTTTTGTACTTCTTAAACGAATTTTGGTGGACGGTGGGGTAGCAGGGCTTTTTTATGAACAGTTTTGGGGAGAATTAAACAACCTTTTCATAGTTCAGCTGAGAGGTCGGGGGGGGGGGTGGTATTTCCGAATTTTCCTCGACTGTCAGCTTGACCCTGATTGGAGTTTTTGCGACAGCCTCCCCAACAACAATGCCATTCCCAGCGAGGATGTCAAGGGAGAGTGGTGCAACTGAACCTGCAAAGCATATTTGACATCATGCTTTCTGCCTTCGGCAACGCGCGTCACCCCGTCGATCTGTGAGAGGTAGACGAAGCCGCCCAACTCAAATTGAACAACTTGTATTTCCTACCTTGAAGCGTTAGGTACTGACGAGAAGCTCTGCTTTATCTTCAAGGTTTCTTGACAGCGTTTCGGGCGTAGGCCTTTCTTTTAACTTTTATCTCTTCGAGGCATTCATGCTCTCTTCCTGCGTTTCCCTTCAACATTCACCTACCAGACGATACCGAAAAGATTTCCACCCTGGATCCGTGGGTTTATGTCCCCCGTTTCATACAAAATACGACCCCCATCGCTCAAATAGTTTGAACAGACGGACGTCCTGGTTGTCACTAATGTTGGGCTCTCAACAATGCTGCGACTCCAAGAAATGCACTATTATCTTGTAAACTTTCAAGTTCCTTATACAGTGTGCGGCAAAAATATTGTCTACCCACAAAGCACTTCTCTTCCAAGATGAAAAGACAATCACATCACATGATTTCAGTAAAGGTGATCATCCAGAGACCATACTATGTCCTTACACAAGGCCCGACACGATCACTTTGACCGAGCTACACTGAAAAAATCGGCGAGGATCGAGAAGCATCTGCCGTCCGCTACAGACGGACGTCGTCCAAATTGCCCCACGATTCTTAGAAGTAGGTTTCAGAGGCGCAATTGTATGCTGAGAGGCACCGCAGGTTCTACAAGGCACTTCAAAAGAATCGGTTGAACGGGGAAAGATCAGGGGCGTTTGGAAGCCGTCGCTGGGACAGGTGTGGTGGAGACCCAAATATATGTATAGTGTATATGTATATTTTGCCTGCCACGCTTATTAGGTATAGCTACCTCCTTCACTGCTTCTGTCGTCCGATTGATTGACAGTTCATGGCCGGGCGTAGTTCAGGCAAGATGAGTAGAGTGTCGGACGAAGGGAAGAATAGTGGACAAGTCAAGTGAACCATACTCGTTGGGGTGTGCTTATATGTATACAGCTGTTGTTTATATCTTAAACTCAATAACAATTTCTATGATCGCAACATCATTTCTACGGACACTTATGGAAACAACGGTTTTGTTTCGTACAACACGCACTTGCAAACGGCACTTCTTTACTGCACCTACAAACTACAGTAAAAGCCGCTTGACCATACATTCAGTCCAAAACTCAGTTCAAAACCCTTCAATCACTGTTTTGTTGGACAAACCCTTGAGAGCTTGGTATCTACTGAAAACGCCTTCCACAACGCAAACTTCTTGTTTTGCGTAATTTTATTGACTTTGGTTACATAACACAACTTGTTGTATTATGAAACAGAGTGATTTCGACCATCATATCCTTATGTATATAATATGTATATCATCGTATGTACACAAAAGACGAGAAAGTCACAATCAAATCATGATTAGAACAAAAGATGATGAATGATTGAATGAACGCACTTATTAAACGTACTCAACTGTACGTAGCACACTAAATTATTGATTGACGCGAGTAGATCCAAGATACATACGTACGTATTATAGCACAGTACTCACAGGGGATATCGGATGAAATGAATGAATGAACAGACGAATGCGATGTGATTTTTTTTTGGGGGGGAAATTTGCGGGAAAAAAAAAAACGGGAGTCCACATAGTGGCGTCTTAATTACAGAGTATCTCAGGAAATGTGGGTCCTGCGCGGAACAGCAACGACTACGCGTACGTGCGCCAGGAGTACTCTAAAGCACTAGGTATCTCAAATACACAACAACAGAGAGAATGGAAAGTTGGAAATGCTTGAGATGTATAGACGCAATACTACAAACACGCGACACGCGCGACACTACCGTATACCCAGCTGACCGAATACGGTATTAGGAAGGAACATGCGCTAATGGAACACCGTGAAAGGCCACGAGCGTGCCATTCCTCGGCGTACTAACAAAAGCGCAATTCATGCGAAGGAACGGTAGCAAGATCAGTTGATGCCAATGATGAACGGGCTACGGTGATAAGTGATTAATAGAACAAACGGTGAAATAATGGTACGGGGTTGCAACTGTACCCATAGAGTCATACTACGAGTTGAGAATACGGCTATTATTGGCGTCGTTTACGAACTACGTGAGCTGTATATGTATCGTGTATGTACCGTAATTTCGGCCTACACTTCAGAACGAAAACTATACTTATGCGCGTCAATCCATATACTGATTAGATTATACATGCACATTTGAAGAGACAGTGGACGTCATATATATAGTATACTCTTAAATAATATATTAATATGATGACAAGAAGCGTGCCACACAACAAAATCACAACACATGGAAGCGAAAGCGACGATCCGCGGGTAATGATCAATGACAGATCGAATGAGATTATCGATTGGGCGGTGCTATGGTACGTTTGCAGGCGCGTAAACGCGCTCAGAGCTCAGTCACCCTCGCTTTTCATCAGCGGCGATGATCGATTGGATGTCTTCCCAACAATGCGGGAAACCGACGATTGGTGGAGGATCATTCTAAAATTTGTCGATTAGTGAATGTTTTCTAAATCTCACAAGAATGTACGATATGGGACCACCAGGTTCAATGCGGCTCTGAAAAATTTTCAAGATTTATGTTCTCCCCTTTCCAACATGAATCCCCTTTCAATCAACGATCGATGGTGCCCATAGAGTCGCTGAGCCTGGGTCACCTTGGCACACTTCGAAATTGCTCCCCCAAAATTGCAATGGCTTATCAAGGGAGGATATCATCTATGCTATAGCAGCCAAAGAGCAAATAGTCGAAAGTTCTCCGAATTTCACAAAAAATTCCACCTCTCCTCCCTCCCCGACCCCCCCCCCACTCTCAAAATCTA